GTCAATTTCTTTCTGGCTTGAACAGCATTTTTACCCTTTCTGTAGTAAAACAGTAAGATATGTCGAAAATGCTGCTTATCGCTCTCCATATTTAAAAGGGCACCAACCAAAAACTACTGCGTAGAATTAATTGGAATTTTTCACACACAAGCCTTGCTATATGAGCTCTCAAAGCATATAAAAATTCTACGGCTTAAATGTGAAGTTGGGTGCAAAAGAATACAATTAAATCCTCTGTCGGGAGAAAACGAAATGACTTTCCGAACAACCCTATAGTTATAACCTTTCTGACAATAATTTTAAAATTGCATTTTGGGTGATAATAATTGGCAAATTCGTCCTAATCTTAATAATTTTATCAATTGTTTGAGAATCTTGTAATCCTAGTTCGGCGTTCAACCTCTTCTCACAGATTGTCGATAGGGTTACTTTTTGTAACGTTGTTTTGTGAAACCACTTCTGAACAAGACCAGAGATGATGCTTCGTATCAGCCTTCTCGGATTACATCTTACACTCAGCGTAGGGGAACATAACGTTATGGAGTATGTTTCTATATACCATTCGATTGTAGGTTCCATCTATAAAATGTAAGGAACCTACTACATGCCACAAATAGCAACCCCATAAAAATACACAATTTATTGTTGGTGGAGAATTTTTTGGTTCAGGTGAATTAGCTGAAAAATCGTCATTTTTTGGAAAAGCTTGCATGTAAATTAACACCATTACTAAAGTTGTAATTATGCTCAGAAGTGTGAGGAATTTGGTTTATAAACAATTTAAGATCGTTTTTTCCATGTTTCTCTTCTATAACTTTTTTCTAATATATTTAAAATCACTAACACTTTTTCGTTAAGGATAAGACGATTCGATTTTTCAAAGTGATAAAATTTCTAATGAATATCGAGAAAAAACGATTTCGTGTCCACTTGTAAGATAGAAATCCAGCTACCATTTCACTGAATTTTTGGGAAAGAAAGCCTTTTTTATAGTTATTAATCATACTACAATTTTATCCCAATTGAATAAATAGGTGAGCATCAATTAATTTGTTAATAAAAAAAATATTAATTTCGTAACGCTATCAAATGCTATAGCATGATCTGTACTCACAGAGAGTTGTAGGGAGTGTATTTCTACCATATCCAATCATTAAAATTATATATCATTATTAATGTACGTAGTTTTTTACTGATTCAAATGTAAAAATCAGGTCTAGTCCTAACTTTTCCTCTCGAAAGTCTAATTTACCTGGGCTATGTAAGCAACCAAAACGACTCATTCCGTCAGAACCAAAATTTTTGTGAGGTTTCATTGCTAAATAATTTTTTCCCATTTCGAATTGCTCAATTCAAATGTCGTCGTGCAAATTCAAGTCTGACACGACGGTTTCATTCAGAAACCAAAGGTGTCTTGGCTGGACGTCTTCGCTTCAACTGTTATTCGCTGAACAATCTTGAGACTAACTTCTAATTCAAGAGTTTTAGTAATTATCCTCCATCCTGACATCTCTTTGTGAAATTATTTTGATTCTCGTCTCCATCAAAGTTGTTTTTCTAAGATGTAGGCTTTCTGAATTTGATTTTTTTTTTACATGTCCTTCCTTTTTCATTGTTACGTGAAATTATTTTGAATTTACTATATTTACGTAAGAGAAACTGCCTAGAAGTGGCAGTCAGAGCTATTACTTCTAGAAAAATCTTCACCATCATTATTTTTAACTTCATACAAATTGATTTACCTGTTGGCATATTTAATTATTCAAAAACAAAACAGCTAATAAACTTAATTAGCGTGTAGATATTCTTTTTGAAACTTTTCTTTTTACACAAAATTCAAAAGTTGCTTTACTTTTGCCGCGTTATTGATGAGTATTATTTATGTAGGTAAATTATTACGTCCTAATTTTATTGACGTTTGAAAACAATTTATTTTCGTATAATGAAAACCTCCTGTTATCCTTTAACCTAAAAGGTTTAGATTATACGAGGGTGGATTGATAAGTTTCCGGCCTGACCAAGAAAAACAAGGTTTTTAAAAATTTTTTTTTTTTATTTCTCAACATAATCTCCTCCAAGGCTGATACATTTCTCATAGCGGTGTTCCAGTCTATTAATGCCATCTCTATAGACTGATTCGTCAAGCTCCTCAAAATAACCATTTACAGCTTCGATTACTTCTTCATTGTCCGCAAATCTCTTACCGCCAAGCCATTTTTTGAGATTAGGGAACAGAAAATAGTCACTCGGGGCTAGGTCTGGAGAGTAAGGAGGGTGCGGCATCAATTCAAACTTTAGATCGTTGATTTTAGCCGTCGCAACGATTGACGTGTGCGCTGGTGCGTTATCGTGATGAAACAAGATTTTTTTCTTCGCCAGATGAGGTCGTTTAATTTTCACCTCGTGGCTCAAACGTTGCAATAAGTCTGCGTAGTATTGACCAGTGATAGTATTACCCTTTGCAAGGTAATCAATGTATATAATACCTCTTGCATCCCAAAAAACAGTAGCCATAACCTTGTTCGCCGAAAAAATTGTTTTTGCCTTCTTTGGAGTTGGTTCCCCTGGTCCAATCCACTGTTTAGACTGTTCTTTGGTTTCAGGAGTGTAGTGGTGGACCCACGTTTCGTCAACGGTTACGAATCGACGCAAAAATTCGCTTGGATTACGCTTATACAATGACAAATTTGCGGTAGAAATGTTTTTTCGAATCAATTTTTGGTCGACTGTTAGCAAACGCGGCACCCATCTTGCACAGAGCTTTTCCATATGCAAATGTTGGTGCAAAATATGTTGCACACGTTCATATGACATCTTACAGGTCTCAGCTATCTCACGCACTTTCAATCTGCGGTCTCCCAGCACTATTTGATGAATTTTTTCGATCATATCTGGAGTTGTGACCTCAACGGGGCGTCCTGAGCGAGGCCCATCAGAGGTGCTCACACGACCCTTTTTAAACTCGGAAACCCACTGCTTAACGGTTGAATATGACGGGGAGGATGTCCCCAGTGTTGAGTCCATCTCTTTTTTAATTTCCTTCGGCGTTAACCCCTTCAAATAAAAGTATTTGATGACAGCACGATTTTCCTGCTTTTCCATTTTTACGAAAACCACAGAGGCGTCTTGTTCAGCGTGCTGTCAAACCTACACTAGCAAGGAGATCGGGCTGAAACTATAGCTACAAGATATCCAAGGATGGTACTATAGAATGTCACCTCAAGGTAGGCCTAGTGGCGTCATCTCTTGGTTAGGCCGGAAACTTATCAATCCACCCTCGTACATCCTTAAAATTGATTGATTTTACCATAGGAGTTGCTTTCCATTTGTCGGATAGTGTATAATATAATCTTTACGATTTTTACTAAACGAGCAGTAAATTCTTCTTAACTCAGTCATGAGTTTCGGAAGATTGTGATTAAATTTAGAAAATTTAATGAAAATAGAAAGACTCATTGCAATTTATCACAATATAGTTTACCGAGACATTGCTTCGCCCACCTTTATTATCAACGCTGAGTTTGCCTTGCGTTAATACCTAATGCCGACATAAGAGGTGGACGAATCAAGCCCGCTCAGTAAAGTTTAAAGTTCTTGGTCAAGTGATCTGCCAGAACAGTCAGACGTGGATTGCGATATCGATCTTACTGGATCTCGTCAGCACGCCGTAGACAATTCCGACAGAATACAGATCAACTCTACCTGCTGTCATTAGACAGAGTTTGATTAATTACCACAAACAGTGAATGTTCTCTGTAGAAAACTAATACATTTTGTGGAATTCGAAAATGTTCGACAAAATCCAAAATAATTTCAACTTGTCGAAGCGAGTGCTCAGTGATACCTAAATACCTACCCAAAATGCAATTCCTACAATTCCCTAAAATTAAGAATGTGAAATTCACGACCGATAGTCCGCGTAGTCGAAAACGACTCCCTCCAATCATTTCTTGTTAAAATAATCTTATTAATACAGCTTTATATGTCAAAAAATAAGCAATCAATAATTGAGTGACCACCTATATTTTACAGGGTGTTTTTAAATGAAATTTAATAATGATACCAATAAATATTATCATTATAAGGTCGTCAGTCCTAAAACTGGTTGGAGACTCACCTGCACTCTTTCCTATCCTGAGCTAATCTTCGCATTTCCCTAAAACTAGAACAACCCACATTCTTAACTATTTGTAACAGTAATCTAATCTAGGTCTACCTCTTCTCCTCTTAACTCCTGTTTCTGCCTCTAATATGTCTCTGACCAGACCTTCATGCCTGAGTAGGTGTCCTACCAACCTATCTCGCATATTTCTTATTGGCTTCCATAGAGTCCTCTATTCTCCTATTCTTTCTAATACCTCTTAATCTCTAAGCTTCTCTATCCACCGTATCCTCATCTTTGGACTGAAACATTACATTTCGAATGCTTCTAACCTTTTTTTTTTCGCCGCGACCACCGTCCATGTATCGCACCCGTACAGCGCCGCGCTCCAAACATACACCTTTAACAATCTTTTTCGAATTTCTAAATTAATCATTTGCGAGCACAGAAGTGACTTCTTTTTATTGAAGGCGACTCGACCCTACGCTATCCTCTGCTTTATGTCCCTAGCACTCCTTCCGTCCTGACATATCTAACTTCCTAGATACCTAAAATCAGACCCTTCTTCTAATCTTTCGTCTCCTATCTTTATATTCGCTCTTTCCCTACTTTTTCTTCCCTTGCATACCAGTAAATATACAGAACCAATAATAAAAAGAGTGAAGTGAAGTGAAATGAAGTTATGTGTACTAGTCACTACGTGATTTTCATATTTTTCCCTAGAACGTAGTACACACCCAAACAAAATAAAAAGTTTATGGTAGTCAGTATAGTTTATATTTAATTGTTTTAACTTGATATTATGTTAAGTGTACCTGCCAATAGTTGACAAACAGTATTAAATCCCGCAATTAATGACAAATCTATAGATGGCGTTCACTATGCTAATTAGATATTTCTTTAGGAATTAAACAAAAATAATTATTAAAATAATTTCCGTAGATACATCGTACATATACTATACGTTCGTTTCAGCTCGAATATGACTTCAATCAAAACAGCCTTTCTGTTACTGTTATACAAGCCGAAGAATTGCCGGCGCTAGACATGGGCGGAACATCGGATCCTTACGTCAAAGTCTACCTTCTTCCGGACAAGAAAAAGAAATTCGAAACTAAAGTTCACAGAAAAACTTTGAATCCCGTATTCAATGAAACTTTCGTGTTCAAGGTAAATGAAGTTTATTTTATCCAAACAATTTCAACTTCGTCAACCAGATAGGACAGACAATGATTTATTGCTGTATTCCTCAGAATATTCCGTATGCAGATGCAATGAACAAAACTCTTGTCTTCGCCATTTTCGATTTCGACCGTTTCTCAAAGCACGATCAGATAGGAGAGGTGAAAGTGCCCCTTTGTCAAATCGATTTAGCCCAAACTATCGAGGAATGGAGAGAACTGCAAAGTGTCGAGGGCGAAGGAGGCCAGGTGATATAATATTAGAACCTATTATTTCATTTATTTTTTCCTTCCCATTTTATCAAATAGTCTGGTCTTTGCTCCGAGCAAAACAGAAGAAGATTGTAGGCGTCTAATAGGTCATGACGCTGTACTAACGGTAATTAATAATGTGCACAAAGTTGACAATTACGCTATTCATTCATATATTTGACTATCAGCATTATCCCATTTATCGATATATTTACATTAAATCAAGCATTTATCTAAAGTCAAGTTGGTTTTTAACATAATTATGGAATTTGAAAGTTTTTCTCAGATATTTCGGAACATTTAACTCAAATAAAACTTAAAAATATTTATATATGATATAACATTGAGAAGAACTGATTAACCTTTCATTACAATTTGCTAACCTTTACAAATGGTAGAACTGGTTTTTAAATTCCATAAAGCCAACACCAACCGTTCCTCCTTTTTGTACCTTCTTAATGAAATACAAATAAATAAAATCAGCAGTATTAAAATTTAAAAATAAAATATCTTTTATATTCACGGGTTGCAAGGCTTTTGTTTTTAACAATGTTTCCTGTTGAAATTTAATAATTCTTATAGTTATATTAATTTTCTTCTTGACTACTAATATTTTTTAAGAATTTCATAAAAACACACATTTTGAATCGATAATGCAGTTTTATGTTACTTAGTTTTCAAATTTCAATGTTACTTTCGAATGTCTCACTTTTTTTTGACCATCAGTTTACGGTTTATTTCAGAATCCCATTCAAGAAAAACTGCATTAACAAATATAATTTTTAGTCATAAAATTGTACATTAAAAAATTATAGAGAAATAATAATAAAATTAACAAATCATTTCGAAATTAAAAACAAATTAAATATAAAGTTTTATCGTATTATAAAAATTACCTATCATAGCTGGGCGTTATCCATTCGTCAATTCAGTTTAGAGAATTCCGTTAAATTTGTAT